CCCGGGGAAGAATAGTACTTTGTACTAATCGGGTTACCTTCTTTAAATAAAGCATTATTATTATTATTATTATTATTAAATTATTCTGATTTTCGTTGACTTCTTCATCGGAACTGTCGGCCAGATCATCAGACTCAAATCCCTCAAACTCTTCGTCACTTTCATCGTCGTTAAATAATTCGTTGAAGAAGTTTTCATGTTGTGGTAAGAACGCCGCCATTTTGGGCCACCCATAAATAAACTTGCAACTCTCTACTTGTTTTAAATAACAACCAATCTGATTTGAGCTACGTCACTAAGCTCGTTTTAACCTCAAATGTATTACCAAATAAGGAAAAGGTTTTTATTAAACTTTATTTCCATTGGATGTCTAAAAATACGATATAAAAATAAGCTAATAAACAATATGTCGTAACCCGGAATATTCCGGGTTCAGCTCACAGCACGTGCATTCGAAACCCGGAATATTCCGGGTTCAGCATTACCAGGGTTAATAAAACATTTTTGATGAGCAAGTGTGCCTTTTCAAAAACTGTGCAATGCCTTGACCTAGGGCTGGGGGTTCAAGTGTGGTAGGGGCACTACTGATTATTGCTGAATAATACTGATAAGTTGAAATGCAGTTGTTCCATTACCCTGCCTATGGGTATTAAGTAACCAAACTAAGCAATTACTAAGTGTATAGTTATGAGCAGATCAGCAATGGTGCCTCTTTCAAAGTTGTGAATGTCATTATGTCTAGCTTAAAACATTTACCAAATTCAATCATTTGAAAGTTGTTGCATGATGCTCAGGTGACTTATAAGGCCCATGGGCCTCTTGTTTTAAATATTGTAACATATTGTTTCACATCGTTAGGTGAACTGCATTCATTAAAAAACCAGGATGATACATAATTGTTTTTCCTGACATGTACAGATCCCAGGTGGCTCTTAGCTCATCTGAGAGATAAAAGTTACATCTTAACTTTTTAATTTTCGCATTAATTAAAAACCTAGATAAAACGAGGATTAAAAATGAAGACAGCAGACTTCTAAGAAGAATGTGTTTACCTGAAGTCATTAAAAGAAGAGCGAGCAGGTCTTGTCAGAAATAACATTTCACCAGGGGGTCTCTTGTAATTAATTAATTAATTAATTGGACTGCAGGCACATAGACATGTAACACAAGGTCACAGAGAAGGTACAGGGGTGTATGAAATAGTGTCAGAAGCTACAGGGTGTGTGTAAAATAGTGTCAGAAGAAGTACAGATCAGAGATGCTGTATTTTATTACATTTCAACTGTTCCCCTATAACAGCCCTATAAATGATGTGTCGAACTGGTCGTCACTTTAATGGGAATCTTTTCTTTCAGTGATGAGTGGCCATATTATAACAGTGTATTCTTGGATGTGACTCATTTTTAGGTCACCTGAGTAAACTCAGGTGACCTATTGCTATCTGTTTTTGTCCGTCGTCGTCCGTCGTCCGTCGTGCGTCGTGTGTCGTGCGTTAACATTTGAACATTTTCAGCTTCTTCTCTGCAACCACTGAACCAATTTCAACCAAATTTGGCACAAAGTATCTATAGGTGAAGGGGAACAAAAATTGTGAATTTCATGATCCCTGCCCCCCTGGGGCCTGAGGGGTGGGGCCAAAACCACTAAAATTAATGCAATCTTTAAAAATCTTCTTCTTTACTCCTGGACATCAAGCAGTCAAACTGTTTGCATGATTGTAATCAGCAATGAGTCCTCTACCAAAATTGTAAAATTCATGGCCCTGGGGTCAGGGGTTCTAGTGCTAGGGCGGGGCTAAATAAGTAGGTAGTGAAAATGCATTATTTCTTTGAAAATCTTCTTCTCTGCTCCTGGGTATTAAAAAAACCAACTAAGTGCATAGGTATGATGAGCAAGAGTGCCTCTACCAAAATTGTGAATATGGCCCCAGGGTCAGGGGTTCTGGTGTTAATGCAGGGCTTTGTTGATTATATAGTGAAAATACATGAATTCTTTGAAAATCTTCTTCTCTGCTCCTGGGTATTAAATAAACTAACTAAGTACATAGTTATGATGAGCAAGAGTGCCTCTACCAAAATTGTGAATTTTATGGCCCCAGGGTCAGGGGTTCTTGTTTTAGGGTGGGGCTCTAATGATTATACATTGAAATGCATGAATTCTTTGAACATCCTGGTAAATATGCTAATGAACTAATTACATATTTAAGGCCAGGATTTATTTTATTTTCAGTTTTACAAACCCTCCGCTCAAGGTTTTGAATGTTCAGAAAAAAATAAAACAATTTTTTTTCTTTCCGATGTCAAATTTGAGTCGGGATCGAGATTTCACATTTACGAACTCGTACTTCCGGTTTTAAGATGAAACGGCGAGTAAATAAAGCGAGATCTGAAAGATAGCTTGGTTTAGTGTAAAATTCATCGATACGAGTGCCATTCAAAAAGTTTCACCTGTTCAAAGGACAAATAAAATGCTGACGACTTTGTTGCACAATGACATGCTGGTGAGATAATTATGTATTCGTTTCAAAAGTATCTGTCTGTAAATTATTTTCCTCCCCCAGGTTTTAAACTGCCCGTGGTAGCTTTTGCATATTGCCAGCGGGCAGCAACATTGTTTAGGTCTCTGTTATAGCTTACAGTCTAAGCATCATTCTTCAGAAAAGGGTTGCTTATGCATCAGATGTAATGAATAAAACTATGGGAGCAGTTCAGTCCATTTGAGGAAGAAATTGTTAAGGCAAGAATATACAAATATATACAGGCATGTAGTATTATTTGTATCAGCCAGAAAAATTATTTTACACTTGATTGAAAAAATGTTCACCCTACACCCGCAATACCCCCTGTCTGTTTTATGATAGGATTTAATTTTAGAACAATGTCTACACATTCACCTAACACATATTAAAAAAATGAAGATATATTGAAAGACTTTTAAAGAATTGATTTTTAAAAAATATATTTTGACCAACATCACAAAATTTATATAACTGGCCCAAACTGGCAGATGATGAAAAGGCAATTAAATGTTTTACTTTCCTATTTGTAAGCATTATGTGTCCATTGGTAAGGAGCCTATTATAATAGCATAAAAAAAGAATGTACAAATGTTAATAATTGATTTATCAAAAAAAATATTGATTTCCTTCTCCTTTGGGACTTTTTTATTCTCATGCTCATAACTAAACCTAAACAAAAAAAATGCTGGCCTTATAATGAAGAAAGGGGCCTCTTTCAAAATAGATACTTTCAGAGACGCTGGGTCAGGGGTACCAGGGGGTACTTTGACTAAAAATAAATTAATGCTTTGAAATCTGCCCTTTGATAAGCAATGGTGCCTTCTTCAAAATTTGTGAATTTCATGGCTTTTGGATTAAAACACAAGCCAAATACAATCGCTGGAAAGTTGTTACATGATACTCAGGTGACCTATAAGGCCCGTGGGCCTCTTGTTTTTTAAGTGATGTAAACAAAACTAAGGCTGTTTATGCTTTCTGTGAAAAAAAGAAGAGAATTGTGATTTTTGTGGTATGAGTAAGGTATGTTCTTCAGTTCTGTGAAGGGACATTTCTCACAAAAAGAAACATGGAGGCAGTGGCTCTTTAATAGCTCAGTAAAGTGTCCTTGTTCTTTTCATGGAATTTGACGAGTTTCATAATGAGACATATAAACTGATATAATTTTTATGGGAAGTAAATTGTGAAACATTGTGTGACAGGATAAGAGTAGAGGGAGATATTTTTAAATGATGCCCATTAATGGTAAGACCCTGTGAGAATGCCTGATAGAGGATAACTTTGATGTACGGTAGTTTGTAGAGTGCTGATATTGCTATTTGATATGTGGCATTAGTACATCATGATATTTTTCAGTTTAGTGCAATTGACCATATGAAAAATTAAGGATGATTTTTTTCTAGTTATATAGTTTTATCTCATAATAGAAATTAAAAAAAAATATAAAACATGTGAAAGAGGATTCAGAAACTAGTAATAAAAATATTTGGCATATAAAAACGTAAGGAATTTCTCTGATTTCTCACATCTTCCCAATAGAAATATCTTGTATATCGTTTACCTTGGTCATCCTGAAATATAAAACCTATTAATTCAGTTGATAAGTGTTTTGTAATTTCACTGAGGTTCTTTAATTAACAGCCATAAAAATTTTATCAGATTATATAACTATGAATATTGAACAGTGCCGAGTCAATTAAAGTGTAGTAAGCAGTGTGATGAAAATGATCATTAATATTGTAGCGATAATTTTTATCAAACGTAAATGGTGAATATAAAAAAGGCTTTTTTCAAGCCATAAACAGTACACTACATTTTTGATCAAGGAAAAAAAATGAAATTCTGTTCGTTTAGGCCATTTAGAGGCATGAGTGAACAGCTTGTTTGTTGAAATGTGACACGTCCAGAAAAAAAAAGGACAAAAACGGACAGTGGGGTTTGTGAAGTAAATTGTACAGAGGCCACATCAAAAAGTAAGCTGGGGAAAAAAATTCTTCTTGTTTGACAGAATGTGTTGCCAAAGTAAACAAAAAACACCATCTAAAGATGTGGAATTATAAAGATTTCATTTGTCAGTTTTCAGTCAAATAATTGTTGCGATGCTTCACAATTGGTGTAATGTGTGTTACAAGGGGAAAAACCATGAATTTTTGTAAGAAAAATCTTAAATTATTGGAAGAGACCTAAACTTTTCTAGTAAGTATATTAGTTTAAGGACACTTAAATTTTGCGCAATCACTTCAAAAGTCAGTTCTGTACAGGCACCTTAAAGCACTAAACCCTGGGAGTTGGTTGTTATGTTATGTCAAGTGATAAAAACATTTCCTGATTCTAAAGTGCCACTAAATTCTTTATTTCTGTATTTTACTTCAGCTCTTTCTGATGAGCTGTCAAATATATTTTACTACCTTTTTAATGCAGCTATACGAAAGGATTCTACATGTTAATTTAATTGTAAGAAGGGGTTCCTTATATCTATTTTTAGCTGTGAGAAGGGTTCCCACATCGAGTTCCAGTTTGACTTTGGTGATGGCACGACTACAGTGGTACAGGGGAGAGAGGAGATGTTCCTTAATTACGTCAAAGGCAGCACGTCTCACAGATATACACAAGGTAGGTGGACCATTCATACCGTAAATATTGAAATTTTTGCTGTAGATAATTTTTAGCAGATTTGCGAGTTCATTGCATTTGCAAAAATATTTTTCTAAAAAATAATTCAACAATAAGAAAATGTAAACAAAGCAGCGGTCATTCGCAAAATTTTGAAACGTAAAATTAATCAACAGCATTTTGACCCGGATTCGCAAAATAAAATCGACGTAAAAATTTCCGGATTTACGGTATACTGGTAGACATATAAAACGTAGTACATGTATTACAGATATACACAAGGTAGGTGGACCGTTCATATAGACATATAAAACCTAGTATTACAGATACACACAGGGTAAGCTACATAGTCAGACCATTCATATAACCACACATTGATCCAAATCTCAGCATCTTAAATTTGAAACTGGTTTCTGTTTAGAGCAGCTTTGTTTTCATATTTCAGAGGGAGTGTTTAACATTACGGTAACAGCAATAAATCCCCTTGGCAACAGAACAGCAACACTTGACGGGCTGTTCTATGTACAGGCCTCACCGTTTGGATTAAAGCTGGATAAATCCGTTTACTACACAAAACTTGGTGATGTCACTGTTATGCGTGCTACTTTCTCTCATGGTACCAATGTAACATTTGACTGGAAGCTCGGAGACCAGACTGATATACTCAATAACTCAGGTAATGAACAATAACACAGGTAACTAACTGTAACATAGGTAATTAATGATGATTCTGGTAATTAATGGTAACTCAGGTAATTAATGGTAACTCAGGTAATTAATTCTGAAATTACTCGCTTCACTTATTTCTATCTCATATGACTCATAAATAAAAAACAAACCTGCTTGTATTATTTAGAAATTGTGAAAACTGGTTCCATAATGACATGTTTACTTCAGATTAGCAAATTTATTGTATTTTATGCCTGAAAAGAAGTTTTAAATCTGCTTGTAGCTCAGGTAAGCTTTCCAGGCCCCTGACCTGTTTTGTATCTGTTCAGGTTCAGTGTGAGAGCTTCTGACCTGTTTAAGTATCTTTTCTGTGTTCAGGCTCGGTGATGAGACACACGTACCAGACGCGGGGAGTGTTCAGTGTGACGGTGATCGCCAGAAATAAGGTGTCCTCCCAAACAGAACACGCTGTGGTGGTCGTCCAGAGTCTTATACAAGGTCAGTATCCTCCCAAACAGAACACGCTGTGGTGGTCGTCCAGAGTCTTATACAAGGTCAGTATCCTCCCAAACAGAACACGCTGTGGTGGTCGTCCAGAGTCTAATACAAGGTCAGTATCCTCACAGACAGAACACACCGTGGTGGTCGTCCAGAGTCTTATACAAGGTCAGTATCCTCCCAAACAGAACACACTGTGGTGGTCGTCCAGAGTCTTATACAAGGTCAGTATCCTCACAGACAGAACACGCTGTGGTGGTCGTCCAGAGTCTAATACAAGGTCAGTATCCTCCCAAACAGAACACACTGTGGTGGTCGTCCAGAGTCTTATACAAGGTCAGTATCCTCCCAGACAGAACACGCTGTGGTGGTCGTCCAGAGTCTGATACAAGGTTAGTGTCCAGTGTGAACAAGATGACCCCCAACCCAACCTCCCTCTCCTACAGAGTCCAGAGTCTTATACAAGGTCAGTGTTCTATAGAAAGGAGGTCCCCCTTCCAAAGAACAAATGGTGGTCAAAAGTCAAGAGCCTCTTACAGGGATAGAGGTCAGTAATGTGATCCCCCACCCACAGAACAAGTTGTCTTCTACATTGTTTGTGTTCAATAATTTTAAATGAACCATCACCCCCACCCCAACCCCCAACCACCCTTATTGACAGAGATGTCTTGGAAAGGGATAGTGTACAGTTCAATGTATAGAAGGTTTCTCTTGACCTCAAAATTTAATATTTTTATTTCTTCCTGTTATTTTTAAGGGGTGAGGTTGATAACGAACACCAACATCACTGAGACAAACCAGGTGATTGAGCTGAGAGCTGAGACGTTACCAGAACCGGGTCTGGGGACGTACCATCACTGGAACCTGGGGGACAACCAGAAAGGAGTCCAGACAACAGAACCAGAGATAGACTACAGATACAGGAGAAATGAAAGGTAAGTGTAGGGAAAAAAAGGAGTCCAGACAACAGAACCGAAAATAGACTACAGATACAGGAGAAACAGAAGGTAAGTGTAGGGATAGAAAGGAGTCCAGACAACAGAACCAGAGATAGACTACGGATACAGGAGAAACAGAAGGTAAGTGTAGGGAAAGAAAGGAGTCCAGACATCACAACCGGAGATAGACTACAGATACAGAAGAAATGGAAGGTAAGTGTAAGGATAGAAAGGAGTCCAGACAACAGAACCAGAGATAGACTACAGATACAGGAGAAACGGAAGGTAAGTGTAGGGAAAGAAAGGAGTCCAGACATCACAACCGGAGATAGACTACAGATACAGGAGAAATGGAAGGTAAGTGTAGGGATAGAAAGGAGTCCAGACAACAGAACCAGAGATAGACTACAGATACAGGAGAAATGGAAGGTAAGTGTAGGGATAGAAAGGAGTCCAGACAACAGAACAAGAGATAGACTACAGATACAGGAGAAATGGAAGGTAAGTGTAGGGATAGAAAGGAGTCCAGACAACAGAACCAGAGATAGACTACAGATACAGGAGAAATGGAAGGTAAGTGTAGGGATAGAAAGGAGTCCAGACAACAGAACCAGAGATAGACTACAGATACAGGAGAAATGGAAGGTAAGTGTAAGGATAGAAAGGAGTCCAGACAACAGAACCAGAGATAGACTACAGATACAGGAGAAATGGAAGGTAAGTGTCAGGATAGAAAGCAACCAATCAGATGATCTCCTCACTGTTATCAACCGGAGATAGACTACAGATACCGGAGAAACGGAAGGTAAGTGTAGGGATAGAAAGCAACCAATCAGACGATCTCCTCACAGTCATCAACCAATCAGGTGATCTCCTCACTGTTATCAACCAGAGATAGACTACAGATACAGGAGAAACAGAAGGTAAGTGTAGGGATAGAAAGGAGTCCAGACAACAGAACTGGAGATAGACTACAGATACAGGAGAAATGGAAGGTAAGTGTAGGGATAGAAAGGAGTCCAGACAACAGAACTGGAGATAGACTACAGATACAGGAGAAACGGAAGGTAAGTGTAAGGATAGAAAGGAGTTCAGACAACAGAACCGGAGATAGACTACAGATACAGGAGAAATGGAAGGTAATGAAAGGATAGAAAGCAACCAATCCAATTCTTCCCAAAGGGCATAATCAATCAGACTCTCTCCTAAGAAATATTAAACCAATCAGATGCTTTCCTCACAGTGATTAACAAATCAAACTCTTTCCTCACAGTTATCAGCCAATCGGACTCTCTCCTCACAGAATTAACCAATCAGATTCCTAATAGTGATTAACCAATCAGACATTCTTCTCATAGAAATAAACCAAACAGACATTTTCCAAATAGTGATTAACCAATCAGATTCACTCCTTTAAGTCATCAACCAATCAAATTCTCAAATTCTCTCCTCACAGTAGCCCTGTGGGGATCCGGGTTAGAATAGGTCCTCAGTATCCCCTTGCTTGTCGTAAAAGGCGATTAAATGGGGCGGTCCTTCGGATGAGACAGTATAAACTGAGGCCCGTGTTACAGCAGGTGTGGCACGATAAAGATCCGAAAGTGCCGAGTATAGGCCTAAATTTGCAACCCTTCACCGGCAAGGTCACGTCTCCATATCAGTGAAATATATTACAGAGGGACGTTAAACAGTATACAATCAATCAATCTCCTCACAGTCATCAACCAATCAGATTCTCTCTTTCCTATTTATACTCTCTGTTTTTTTACAATGTTCAACCATTGAAACTCCTCTCATGTTCAGTAGTTTATCAATCATGCTGTCTTATCTCAATATATCAACAATGGAAATGTTCTCCTAAATACCTAAAAATAATGTTAAACATATTTTAATTTCCAGGTTTATTGCTACAGTAAAAGCTTACAACAACATCAGTCAGTCGGAGTCAGCGCCTGTAGAAAGCACCGTCCTGTCTAAAGTGAAGAACCAAGAGGTACGCTGTCTGAAGGATTCACTGGTCAACACGTCGCTAGAATTCGCCGCGCCCAGTTACTCGGGCTCTAATCTGAGGTAAGTCTGGGATTTTGGGGACGGCACTCCTCCCCTACAGTCCACAGTCATACTAGGGCCACAAGTCAAACATACTTATGTCAAGTATGTATTTTTTTAAATTCATAAGTCAATTGTTATAATATTGTATGCTAAGTAGGGATTTTGGATGAAGTACGAGTTAGTTATATTGGTACACGTACTAGTACAACAGTAAAATAAAGGCAGACTTGCTTATTTCACTAGAGGTTCAGATTCAAAAATATTTTTTGTTGAGAAATTAATTAGCATTGACTTTTGTGATTACTGGTATGTTGTCTGTTGTACAGTGTGGGGAATTACTTTGCACAGGATCCAGTATTTAAACTGTCTGAAATCTAGAGTTTAAAATCAAGTGTAGCGTATGAATTGTCTTTTGTATACATGTAATAATGACGGAAATGGGGGGTCTGCTGGAAAAAAAATCAAGTTGATTTTTGTTTTTTTGCAGTTATGAAGAAACAAATGGAAAAACGTTTGCAGTCTATTCAATTAGTCCCCACTAAGCACTTCATTCCACCTGAAACATCAACACCAGGGCCATCATAAAACAAGTTCTCCAGTCAGTGCAGTGAGAGCTAGACCAAGTGATACATATAACAGAGCCTTGGTCTGAGATATCTGACATAGCAGCAGAAGACACTTAGAAAATGTAATGCTCACATATATTTGGGATTTAAAAAAACTATTAATAGATGAAGCATTATATGTTTTTATAAACTGATTTGCTATTTAATTCAGGGATGATGGTAGAGCATCTAGGGTTGAAGACTGAGCTGCATGGTGCAGCTCAGTATCTATATTCAAACTTTTTGAGTAAGTAATATGAATGCATGCATGTAATTAACAATATATGTCCAGATCTAGCAATCCAGGTACATAAAAAGAGAGCAATTTAGTTTCCTTGATAATTGTTGGGTACCCCTTTTTAAAGAGAAATCCTTTTTTTAATCTTACATTTAATTCATCAGAAATAACTAATGATGACGGGAGTAAGAATGAGGATGAGGAATATGAGCAAAGCTTTCATGTATCCCTTGGGTAAATAGTTTTCTTGACATTGGTGTTTATGTGATTTTAAATATTCAGACCACAAAAATAATGGTATAAATATGTATCGATGCTATTATTTTTATGCGCCCGGGTCGTTTATTGTCTTTGTCCTGTCTGTCTGTTTGTTGGTTAATTTTAAATGCCATAGCTTTTGAACCATGAGAGATAGAGACTTCATATTTTGTATGCATAATCAACTGATTAAGTTCTTTCAATTGATACCAAGGTCAATGACCTTGTGATCTTGACTTTGACCATTATGCTAAAAATAGCCTTTACGAACTTTGTTGTTGATGGGTGCATAGTGGTTCACAAACACATCTTGTTTTATTATGATTTTTATAATTTTTTATGTGAATAGTTTTTAGCTCACATGAGCCGAAGGCTCAAGTGAGCTTTTCTGATCACATTTTGTCCGTCGTCCGTCCGTCTGTCCGTCTGTAAACTTTTCACATTTTCGACCTCTTCTCAAGAACCAATTGGGCCAATTTTGAACAAACTTGGTACAAAGCATCCTTAGGTGAAGGGGAATTTAAATTGTTAAAATGAATGGCAAAGTTTCCTCACAAGGGGAGATAATCAAGAAAAGACACAAATAGGATGTGGTCATTTAAAATCTTCTTCTCAAGAACCACTGGGCCAGAAAAGCTGAAACTTATGTGTGGAAGCATCCTGGTATAGTGTAGATTCTAAATCGTTCAAATCATGACCCCCGGGGGAAGGGCGGGGACACAATGGGGATCAAAGTTTTACATAGAAATATATAGGAAAAATCTTTGAAAACCTTCTTCTCAAGAACCACTGGGCCAGAAAAGCTGAAATTTCAAGACTTCAAAAAACTTAATTATGTGCACATGGAAGGATCATGGGGATCATGAAGGATCATAGTTTAGATTTCAAAATGTCTAAATTATGATCAGTGGGGTAGGGTGGGGATGCTTTATGTATTACAAGGGGGAAATCTGGTACAGAACAGAATGGTCAAAGTTTCTCAGGTGAGCGATGTGGCCCATGGGCCTCTTGTTTAGTTCACCTGAGTCGAAAGCTCAAGTGAGCTTTTCTGATCATTTTTTTTAAGTCGTTCGTCTTTCTGTAAACTTTTCACATTTTCGACTTCTTCTCAAGAACTACTGGGCCAATTTTAACCAAACTTAGTACAAAGCATTCTTGGATAAAGCTTAAGGGAAGTTTAAATTGTAAGAATGAAGGACCAAGTCCCTTCACAAGGGGAGATAATCAAGAAAAGATAAAATTCTTCTTCTCAAGAACTACTGGTCCAGAATAGCTGAAACTTTTGTGGAAGCATCCTGGGATGGTGTAGATTCTAAATTGTTCAAATCATGACCCGACGAGAGTTGGGAGGGGCCACAATAGGGAAGTTTTTCATAGAAATATGGTATGTGACCGATGCATGGTGAATTAACCCTACACGAAAAAACTTTTAATTTCTTTGTAGCAGGAACTATTTGGCCAGAAACGCTGAAAATTTTGTGGAAGCATCGTGTAGTGTAAATTTTAAATTGTCCAAATTATGACCCATGTGGTAGGGTGGGATCACAATATTTATTACAAGGGGGAAATTTGGTAAAGAACAGAATGGTCAAAGCTACTCAGGTGAGCAATGTGGTCCATGGGCCTCTTGTATTGATATATCTTCACAGATTAGATCATGATGTTTTATCAAGTGAGTCAGATGAGGAAAAGGAGGGAAAAGATCAATATTGCCAACAGGAAAAAGATATAGAACTTGGTCTTGGTATAAAGAGACTTAGATCCAATGATGAGATGGATTCCCTTCTTGTTCAAAGCATTTGCTGGAGCTAGCTACAAAAAAAGTCAATTCCAAATGTAAAGTGAAAGGATGTTCTGAAGATGTGAATGTCACCATACGCACAGTCTCGTCTGCTGTTTACTTGACATGGGTAGAATTTTTTTTACATAATACATGTACCGGTATTTAATTACATCTAGTAATTAAAATGCAGGAATTTCTCTAAAGAAATATGAATATATTCAAAACTTTTTTAATAACTAAATTTGTAATAAAGATGTGTACTTTTATTTTGCATAAAGGCTGGGCAAGAGAAATCAAAGAAACCTCTTTTGGCATGGATTTGTGAAGTAGTGAACCATTTTTGGTATTGCTCGTCTACTGCAAAACCTATCTGAGACGGAATTCATTGTAAGTCAATCCAATAAAAAAACAAACAACAAAACCACTAATTATTCACTACATTAGAAATGACCACCTCTGTTTTTACTTCTGCTATGCTTTAAATTTTTACAGAGCATGTGGTTGGGTGTGATTCAGCACGTAGTAAATGAACATGAATGGATTCTTCCATACAGAGTAGGTGCACAGAATTATTGTCTGCACGGACCTCTGACAGAGGAGCGAGAGGGAGGTTGGTTAGAGGTAGGGTCATCAGCTCATGTTGCTCTGAGGGACACTAATTGTTCGAGACAAGAGACTGCTAAAGAAAATTTCATATTACTTGAATTGCAGGTGCATGAAACTTTGCCTGTCTATTTTTTTTACCAACCTGTGAATAAAAAATTCAAGACAAATTAACTTTTATTTCGGACATAATTATCACTGCTTACAAACTTATCTCTTTTTTGCAGAAGTACAGCTGCATTAGAAAATTTTCAAAATTTGATTTTGAAATACTCCTCAAAATAACATTCATATTCGACACCAGTATACAAGGCGAGAATCTTAATTGCAGCGTTAGACCACAACTCTAACTGTGGTAGAGAAATTTTAAGAAGGATGGCTCTCAAAGGTATTAGTATTCAAATATTGATAAAATTCAGGTTCATGCTTCTAATTTTTCTATCCATTAAGTTTACACATTTTAGTTTTACTATAAATATATTTCCTATAAGCAATACTGGTATTTATCCCTTTTTTCAGACACCAACAATATTACAGCAAGAAGTGTGGGAGATGGTCTGTAGTGGCAGATGGTCTGTCTATAGAGTTAACTCAGAGAAAGTGTACCCTTACTCTGGGACCTTGATGAGAACCTGTTTTGAGAACAGACGACTGGGTAGAGTAGGAATGAACCAGCCAGTACCCTTACTTCAGAGCCTTGATGAGAACCTGTTTGGAGAACAGACGACTGGGTGGAGTAGGAATGAACCAGTCACTGGTTCTCAGTGCTGAGGATCCAAGAAGAATATCCTCTGTGCTAGCACCAGTCCCCCCACCACCTACAGCTGAACTAGTTGCTGGAAAAAAGTCAAGATTTTCTGATCTCAAATTCATATTTCATGAAATGAAAAGTAAAAGTTATGTTGTTAATGATTTAATGCGTTTTGTTTTAATTTGACATAATCAGTATCCAAGCACCCCTTCTAAGAAACCAACATATTGTCCTGATGGCTCGGGATATTAATCCCGAATTTTCCACAAGCAACAACTTGATATTACTTTACGATTGCCTGCTCCGAGTATCCCATGTATCCACATTATATATTGGCGATAGGCTGTGTGTCTGCGAGATCTATTGAAGTTCTCATCCAGAGGCTCAGCTAGCACATCATTGTGGTACCGCATGGCTACCTCCAGCACGAGCTCATCTAACTGCAGATCTGTAGTGTTATGGCTTTATATATTCGTCTTTGACCATAACGCTACAGATCCAGTGCAAAACACGTGCAATTTACGGCGCAAAATTTTTTGCGCACTTTTGGTGATAATTTCTCCACTTTCCAGCATTGGTCAATCAACTACCTTTCAATCCCTAATTCTAGATACATTCTGTAGCCAATATGTATATATTCTCCACCTCCCAACCATATTTAGTTGTCTCTACATGCAATAAACTCGCTTAAAGTGAATTTACAGCAATCTAACAAATAATTTTTATCAGGCAGGTTTATCACTTGTAGAGACGACTATTAGGGGTTGGGAAATGGATAAAATGTGCAGATTAGTTTGATAATGTTC